TGAGTAGGGGTATTTTCCATGAGATGGGATGAGTGGCCTTGGGTTGAAATGGTGGCCATGAGGTGGGATAGTGGCCATGAGGTGGGATAATGACTATGGGTTGAGATAGTGACCATGCTGTGGGATAGTGGCCATGAGGTGGAATAGTGGCCATGAAATAGTATGAGTGGTAATTTGGTGAGATGGTGGCCATGAGGTGGGATATTGGCCATGGGTTGAGATGGTGGCCATCAGGTGGTATAGTGGCCATGAGGTGGGATAAGTGGTCATAAGGTGGGATAGTGACCATGAGGTGGGATAGTGACCATGAGATAGTGGTTATGGGTTGAGGTGGCCATGAGGTGGGATAGTGACCATGCGTAGGGGTAATTTCCATGAGATGGGATGAGTGGCCATGGGTTGAGATGGTGGTCATGAGGTGGGATAGTGGCCATAATGTGGGATGGTGGCCATGAGGTGGGATGAGAGGCCATGGGTTGAGATGGTGGCCATGAGATGGGATGAGTGGCCATGGGTTGAGATGGTGGCCATGAGGTGGGATAGTGGCCATGATATGGGTTAAGTGGCCATGGGTTAGGATGATGGCCATGAGGTGGGATAGTGGCCATGGGTTGAGATGGTTGCCATGAGATGGTATGAGTGGCCATGAGATGGGATGAGTGGCTTTGGCTGAAGTGAGAGTTTCTTGTTGTTTAACCCAGCAATATGGCAGCTATATGGCAACGATCTGCAACCAAGCGAGTGTGGTCGAGACAATCCAGAGATTGACATCCTGAGCTTCAGTCGACCAAACATTGGGATATGATGACATGCAATCAATCAAAGCACCGATTCTGACCCGATCCATTTGGCCAACTCTTACGAAGAGCACGGGCTACTGGGGATATTTCCCCAGCCCTGACTCTCCACGGGCGAATGTACTGTTAGGCGATGATGCATCAATAGTAAATCGTTACAAACTTATTTAGTAGTAATGTTAGTAAACTGATAAACAGTAACTTTATATGCTGAAGGATAAAACACGCTTACATATTGCACACCTGACAGAACAGAATGATTTATTGTGATGACATGTTTTGAACATTTAGCTTACTTGCTTGGTGGGAAACATTCTCGTCATTAAAATGAATCTGACATTTGCATAACAACCATAGAAATAAATTTTCCATTGAGCCGCCAGCTGGCTGATTTGACAGTAGTGTTTATTACTGTTTCTCCCCAGGTATCAACGTGAGGTGTGCAACACATGGCTACTGTTCCACCACATCAATAAAATTACAAATTCAGATTGAAATAATATGCGAAGGTTCTAAAAGAAAATTTTAATCTTTTGGTGAATTTATTGAAAGATTTCACGAGAGGTTGACATTAGAGATTTGGTTTGACTGTATATATCAGAACACTTCTTCCCATGTAACAACACATGGTGATTTGACTGTATATTTTACAACACGTCTTCACAGGCAACAACACTCGGTGGTTTTACTGTATATTTCACGACAATATTTCTCATGTAACAGAACAGGGCGGTTTGACTGTATATTTCACGACACGTCCTCCCATTTAACAGAACACGGCGGTTTTAGTGTATATTTCAAGACACTTCTTCCCAAGTAACAACACATTGCGGTTTTACTGTATATTTCACAACACCTCTTCCCAAGTAACAACACATTGTGGTTTGACTGTATATTTCACGTCACTACTTCTCGGGAAACAACACACGGTGGTTTGACTGTGTAGTTCACGACACTTCTTCTCAGGAAACAACACATTGTGGTTTGACTGAATATTTCACAACACTTCTTCCCAGGTAACAACACATGGTGGTTTGAATGATTATTTTACGGCACATCTTCCTATGTGACAAGACATGGTGGTTTGACTGTATTGTTCACAACACTTTTTCCCCATGTAACAACACATTTTGTTGTGACTGTATATTTCACGACACTTCTTCCCAGGTAACAACACATGGTGGTTTGACTGTATATTTCACGACATATCTTCCCAGGTAACGGAACACGCTGGTTTTACCGCATATTTCACAACACTTCTTCCCAGGTACCAACACACGGTGGTTTGACTGTATATGTCACAACACGTCTTCCCAGGTGACAACACACGGTGGTTTGACTGTATATTTCACGACACTGCTTCCCAGGTAATAGAACAAGGCGGTTTGACTGTATATTTCACGACACTGCTTCCCAGGTAACAACACCCGGTGGTTTGACAGTATATTTCACAACACTTTTTCCCAAGTAACAGAACACAGTGGTTTGACTGTGTATATCACGACACTCCTTCCCACGTGTCAACACCTGGTGGTTTGATTGTATATTTCACGACACTTCTTCTCAGGAAACAACACATTGTGGTTTGACTGTATATTTTACAACACGTTTTCTCAGGAAACAACACATTGTGGTTTGACTGTATGTTTCACAACACGTTTTCTCCGTAAACAACACTTGGTGGTTTGACTGTATATTTCACGACACTTCCTCCAGGTGAAAAGACTCGGCGTTTTCCTGGTCTTGTGTAAGAGATGCGATTTGATTGTATATGAGCTGCTCACAGATATGAAATACTGATGTGAAATTGCAGAAATCATTAATGTGAAATACAGCAGGGATGGACTGTTTTCAAGTTAAGTACGTGGTTCACGTGCGCGAATTTAGCTGTAATATATACTGATCTAGGGCGAGGAAAACCATATCTACCTGCAATGTAATCTTAATTTTTACTCAAAGATAACAAGGACAGAATTCTACTGTTATGGCGTCAAGTAAGTATGGTCCATGTCGTTCTCTATGCATGTGAAGAAATAGTCAGCAGAAGTTCTGCGCTAGAAACAAGCCACACACCCAACAAAGTTTTAACCAAACTTGTTTTCATCAAATGACCCATCATGTAGAACAATAAACCACCCAATATTAGCAAAAAGCACTTGTTCACTATATATATATATGTGCAAACTTTCTTGAAGGATTGTTGAAGTGTTTTCATCGGAGTGACTATCCCACCAACAATTAAATTCAACACTGCAAGTTCTACATGGTTCAATGGATACGCAAAAAAAGAATGAAACAACAGCAAAATCCCCACTTATTATATGCCAAGGTCATTAAAATCTATATCAACCTGTTGAGCTTTTGAATGAAGATAAAAACCATAAATATACACGCCGCGTGCATAGCAAATCCCCTTCAGCTAGTGTTTCTTAACATCATTTTCTATCTAAAAAAGGGACAAGTGGATATAAGTTACTACATGTATTTATGTTTGCCCCCCTGCACATACATGTAAGTGATGTAAGTATACTGTGTCAGCATTGACAATTTTTTTTCATTGATGGAACTTGGTGGAACTTTCGTTTGTGTCAGTTTGGTAGCATACTTTAACTAGTATGTCAGTTTGGTTGCCCTCTTTAACTAGTATGTCTTTTTGGTAGCCCTCTTTAACTACTTTGTCAGTTTGGTAGCCCTCTTTAAATACTATGTCGGTTTGGTTGCCCTCTTTAACTACTATGTCGGTTTGGTTGCCCTCTTTAACTACTATGTCTTTTTGGTAGCCCTCTTTAACTACTATGTCAGTTTGGTAGCCCTCTTTAACTACTATGTCAGTTTGGTAGCCCTCTTTAACTAGTATGTCAGTTTGGTAGCCCTCTTTAACTACTATGTCAGTTTGGTAGCCCTCTTTAACTACTATGCCAGTTTGGTAGCCCTCTTTAACTACTATGTCAGTTTGGTAGCCCTCTTTTACTACTATGTCGGTTTGGTTGCCCTCTTTAACTACTATGTCAGTTTGGTAGCCTCTTTAACTACTATGTCGGTTTGGTAGCCCTCTTTAACTTCTATGTCAGTTTGGTAGCCCTCTTTAACTACTATGTCGGTTCGGTAGCCCTCTTTAACTGCTATGTCAGTTTGGTAGCCTCTTTAACTAGTATGTCAGTTTGGTAGCCTCTTTAACTACTATGTCGGTTTGGTAGCCCACTTTAACTACTATGTCAGTTTGGTAGCCTCTTTAACTACCATGTCGGTTTGGTAGCCCACTTTAACTAGTATGTCAGTTTGGTAGCCCTCTTTAACTACTATGTCGGTTTGGTAGCCCTCTTTAACTACTACTCGTCACGATATGGCTGAAATACTGCCGATGTGACGTTAAATCTTAACTCACTCACTCACTCACTTTAACTACTATGTCAATTTAGTAGCCCTCTTTAACTACTATGTCAGTTTGGTAGCCCTTTTTAACTACTATGTCAGTTTAGTAGCCTCTTTAACTTCTATGTCGGTTTGGTAGCCCACTTTAACTACTATGTCAGTTTGGTAGCCTCTTTAACTACCATGTCAGTTTGGTATCCCTCTTTAACTACTACGTGAGTTTTTTTAAGACACTTTGTGTCTGGCGTGCTGAGAACATGAGAAGTTGAATAGATATGTAAACCCAACAGGTGTTTCCATCCATCCAATCTCTTTGACACAAACAATCGTAGCACATCCTCAACTCAAATTCCAACAATATATCACATAGCCATTACTTTAATCTTTAAAATACAGGATTACGTTAGTGAAACTTGAGAGATAGTTTTATAGGTCCTTGGGTGTGGTTACAAGCCAAAATCATTTGGGAGTTTATTTTTCAAATATATTACCCTGGCATTCAGTACACGCTGGATCACAAAGCCAAACAAATAGTTTTTGGGATAATAATCCCTTGTAAAGCCAATCGTAAAATTTAGTAAGTACCAAACTATGAAATATTTGACAAAAACCTTCTCAAGCAAGCAAATCAATTTGAACATGTGACATGCTTCATCTGTTTTAATTATAAAAATTATGCAGTGGTTTGCAAGTACTTTTTTCTAAAACGCTTCTCAAAATCAATAGCAAATAGCAGGTTACGTGGGTGATCTCATTCGACACATGCCAGTATATTCATTGGTCCACGTAATTTTCTAATGCCTATTATAAAGCTTGAAGGTGAGCCGATAAGTCAACAGGAATCAACATGACGATGTTTGACAGCAAATTAATCTTTGTTCTCCTGGCTGTTTTGGCGCCATCACTGGGGTCCCAACCTGAACCCAATGAGCTTCCCGACAAGCTTGAAAGTTTATTGGTCAATTTAAGAGCAGCTAAGGCTGACTTTCAGTGTATCTTTGAGATCACCAACCAGCAGTGCCCATGTTTGGGTAAGTAGAGACACAATTACCTATGATTTTTCAAAATACTGTTCCATAAAAGTTTCCGAATAACTAGCAGTCGTTGTGGGTGGGACAATAGCAATATTGTGGACGTTTCAGATCAGTTGGTCACAAACCTTTATTTATATGTTGCCTTAGTCTTCATCAACAGTTTTGCAACTACAGCAATATTCGTCAGTGAATGTAAACGTCACAGCTTGATGATAACTATAAAGTTAAATGTGTTGGAAGATGGGGACACGGGTGGCCCAGTCGTCTAAGGCGCCGCGATTCGCTGTGCAGAGTTGCGTCCCTTGGCCACGCCAGAAACCTATGATTGTGGGTTCGAATTCCGGTTCGCCCCGATTATGTCTCTAGGTTTGTCAACACCATACTCATGCTCGTGGGTTTCACCTAAGCGGTAAACGTCTGAGACCTGCATCACTTCGAGCTTTCCCACATTAAGCTGACACGCCGTGATATAACTGGAATGCTATTTAAGGCGGCGTTAAACCCAACTCAATCATTCACTGTTGGAAGATAAATAGTTTAATGAATAATTAAAATGTATAAAAAACAACATAGGTCCTTGGACAAATTAGATTAAAACGAACCTTCTTACTTAATAATTTCGACCGCCTCCGTGGTCTAGTGGTAGATCGTCCGCCCGGAGAGCGGAAGGTACGGGGCTCGAGTCCCGGCCGCGGCATACAAAAAGACGTTAAAAGATGGAACCTGTTGTTACCCTATCTGACGCTCGGCATTAGGGGGCTAAAACAAGGACTGGTCGGCTCGGAGTCAGTATACTGTGTCTGAGTGGGGTATTCATGTTAAACTGCGGCATGGTATCTCAGTGAGCTAGCGCTATTAATCGGCATCAGTGCGGACTAGTACAAGCAGCCACACACACAAACACACGAGCATGCACGTCGCTATATAAGTGCAATAATCTTGGACGCGACGTTAAACCCAATTTCACCTCACCTTAACAAGAGAACATTCCTTAAGTGTTTAATCCCCAGAATGTTGCTCAAACGATAGAGCTGCTATTGCTTTGTCAGTTCAGGTACCTCAATGTTTGAATCAAGACAGAATACTCCGTTTGATAATAAAATGTTTACATATTTACATTTCAAACTATATTAAAGATATTTTCGTTTTGCTAATTAAAAGCACATACCCTATTCTAATCGGATCAAGGTTTAGTCACATTTTACATTGGATACTTGCACTCATGGTCACGCATGGGAGTGTTGAAATGTATGAAGGACTGTCTGATTTATCAGCTTATCATGGTGATAATACTCTGAAATTATTTTATTGCCCGCATCGGTCATGAAAAGGATTTTTTTGTATGTGATGATTGTGATTGAGATACTGGTTTAACCGAATATTTCCATGATGGTTTTGATACAGTACAAGATTCGGGAGACGATAATTGATTATATCCATACGCCTCTACGTTTATGTACTAGTACTGACATGCATATTGTCGAAGTGGTGGTGCTGACTCAGGAGTGATTTCACGTTTATTTCTCATACTGAACGTAGTGATCTCGTCCAATTTGTCGTTTCAATCAAGATATTTAACTTTAATACTTTTCGGGAGAAACGCGCACGGAATCAGACCACTTTCCAATATCTTAAGAGTTGAAATAACTTCGAAAACAAAATTCAAAACATCAGGAGTTATAGATGTAGTTTCACGCATGTATATATGCAGATGGTGAGGTTCCATTAAAGAGGGGCGGTCGGGTAGCCTAGTGGTTAAAGCGGTCGCTCGTCACGCCGAAGACCCGGGTTCGATTCCCGACATGGGTACAATGTATGAAGCCCATTTCTGGTGTCCCCCGCCGTGATATTGCTTGAATATTGCTAAAAGCGGCGTAAAACCATACTCACTCACTCACTCCATTAAAGATATATTTCTGAATTCACTTAATAATCATAGGGACGCTTGTTATGATATCAGTGAGTGAGTTAATATTTAACGTCACATCGGCAATATTTCAGCCATATCGAGACGGTGTAATGATAACATTCCCGAGACATTGTGATTGTGAAATTTAGGAAGTGGTTAAAACAGTTGGTGATTGATTATCAAAACAGCAGATTTAACAAAGAGGAGAATACATCACGACGAATATAAAGAACCATTATGTTTTGATAAAGTTCGTGTTTTTGCCATGCATAAAAAATGAAATTTTAAATTTTACGTAAGATATATAGTGATACTTAGCTTTATTTGTATTTGAAGAGTAAGTTATTCTATAAGTCATTATGTTAACGCCAGGGTAACGTTGCTAAATTAAAGTAAAACTATTTTAGAACATGGTCACATCAATCATTAATCTACATTGTACAAAAGTCTACTTATTGCAATCTTGACGGAACAGTTCCATATGTTGTTTAATTATAATTAACTTCACCTCAGTGATGTTCAACTGAATGAAAATAAGTACAGTCGTGCCTCGTTTATACGGACACTTGCGTCATTTCACAATTCGTCCGTATAAACGAATTTCCGTATAACTGAAACCAGCTTCTTACTGGAAGAGTTACTTCCCTTCAATTATGCAACTCATGACAGATGACAGAACAAACAGATAGATTGATAGATATTTTGGAGATTTTACGAGCGCTTCAACCTCTGGCTATTTCGCACTCGGGGCAGACGGTTCTTATAAAGTATAAAATAGTGGGAATAATAATAAACGTCTAGCCCAAAAAACTGTAAGTGAAGGGGGATAAAGTAATGAGAAGAGAGGTTGAGGTTTTAGTGGCCATAGAGAGCCGAGGAGGGATATAAAAGTCCTACATTAACCAAGTTTTATTGGGGTGTAATAACTAGAATAGTTAGAGTGACAGAAGTAATCAGTTAAGCTGATGTGTAACTACTAATAATAAAAATCAAATAATTTATAAGGGGGAAAGGGTAGTGGATATGAGTAAGTAACCTAAGTTAAAAGCAGGGGCCTAGCGCGGGGGGTGGGTGGTGGGGGCAAGGCTGTGAGTCGGCGTGATTGGCAGTGGGCTTGTTGTTGTTGGCTATGGGTGGATGGCTGGTTAAACGGCTACGGGTTGGGGGCGCGGACGTCATTGTAGACAATCCGCTATAGAATTTTGAGGCGCGGACGTCGCAGAAGACAGTCCGCGCTGAGAATTTTGATCCCGATCCGAATCTAGAGTTTTGCTGTGAATGTAGGAGTTACTTGCTGAATTTGTTTGGGAGGGTCTAAATTTTTTCTATTAAGTTGGTGTCCTTGAGAAAGTTGGCTATTTGTAGGTAGGTGGCTGGTGGGTTGTCGGGTTTAAATAGCATTAATATTGTTTTTGTATTTGGGTGGGAGAGAGTTGTATAGTGTTAACTGTTGTTGTTTATATTTGCTGCAGGTGGTGAATATGTGTTTTATGTCTTCTATGGTATTGCAGTGGATGCAGTTTGGGCTTGTATGTCTGTTTTGCTTGTATAGTGTTGCATTTAAGTTAGTTTGGTTGCTTTGTATTCTGTTTATGATTTTGTCTGCTAGGATGGAAGTTGTATAATTTTTGCATTTTGTTGTTGGTTTGATGAACAGTGTTTTGATCCATTGAGACTTACATTTTTGGATGTTATTGTTAAAGTTTTGATGTATTATATTGTGTTTTATTAGTGTTTTTGTTTCGGTTTTGCTTGTATGAAATTGTAAAATAGGTATTTGGTCAGTTGTAGCTATTTTTGCTGTTTGATCTGCAATTTCGTTTCCTGGTATGTCTGTATGGCTGGGTATCCATACTAGTGTTATTGTTTTGTTAGCTGTTTTGAGTTTTGTGTGGGTATTTATTATTTGTTTGATTAAGTCGGGTCTGGATTTGGAGAATTTGTTTTATTGAGTTTAATGAGTCAGAAAAAATGATGTTTTTGTTATGGTTTGATGTTTCTGCATGGATGTAAGCTTGGAGAATGGCTAATAGCTCTGCTGTGTTTGTATGTGAGTAGTTTGCATATTGGTATTTCTTTGTGCTTTGTGTGGGTTGTGTTGTATGGACACCAAGCCCTGTTTTTTTTGTTATTACTGTTATATGATGCATCTGTAAAGATGTGTGTATGTTCCGGCTAGTTGTCATGGATATAGTTGAGTGATATTGTTCCTTTTTCTATGTTTGTGAGTTTGTTTTGCTTGCTGAATATTTTGGTTAGGGATGTGTCTGTTTCGGGTGTGTGTGTGTGGGGGGGGGGGGGGGGGGGGGGGGGGGGGTTGGGGGTGTGTGGGGGTGTGTCAAGAATGTATGAGTTGTCTGGGGGTGAGTGAGTTATATGTTCTAGGTTGTATGTTTTAATGAGATTTTGCAGATGTGTTATGAAGGGTGCTATGTTTGTCTTGTTTTTGAACTTTTTTAGCGTAGCTGGTCTTGAGTTTTTGTATTTATGGAGTATTTCTTTGTAAATGGGGTTTTGTTGTGCCCCAGCCCAGTAACTAAGTATAGATTGATGGCGTTTGAGTTGGATTGATGTAATGCCTGTGATGATTTGTAGGGTATTAAGGGAGGTGCCATTTCTAGTCCCCAGGGCTATCTTAAGGGCTTTATATTGTACTGAATTGAGCTTTTTTTCCAATTTATCTGTTAAAGAGTTGAGAACCGGAGCGGCATAATCTATTTTAGCTTGTATAAGAGTTTCGTATATGTTTAATAGTGTTTATTTGTCAGCTCCCCAGTGAGAGCCGCTGATGGCTCTCATTGGATTAATATCTTTTTGGCAGGAGTTGACCACGTTATTGAGCCCATGTAAGGTGTTGGTCAAATGTGACTCCTAGGAATTTTGCTTCTTTTTGGAATTTAATATTTTCTTTATGAAGTGTTAGTTTGGGTGTTAAATTTGGCATAAAGGATTTTTTGAAAACAATGCCGATGTTTTTTTTGGTGTTAATTTTGAACCCCCATTGGGAAGCCCAGTTTTCTAGTTTCGAAAGAGTTGGTTTGATTCTTTTTTCAATTTGTTTTATGGATGTTGATGACGACCAAAATGATATATCATCAGCGAATTTTGCTGTAGTAGTATTTTTTGGGGTAGATGGGAATATGTCGTCAATCATTAGATTAAATAGGGTGGGGGACAGGATACTTCCCTGGGGGGTGCCGTTTTCAAGAATGTGAGGGTCTGATAGGGTGTTGTTTGACTTTACTGTTATGTTTCTGTTATTTAAGAAAGAATGAATGAAATTTAGAATTCTTCCATCAATGGTTTTATCTATTAATTTTTGAATTAGGCCTTGTTGCCAAACCATATCAAACGCTTTAGAAAAGTCTATAAAATTGGCCACAGTGTATTGTTTTTGTGCTTGGGCTGTCCTAACATCATGTTCCAAATTTAAAATGTGATCTGGTCGTCTTAATCGGGTTGGAATAAGGGGGGATTATTACATATTATAATAAGCAATGTATTCCAAACCCTTAATGCCAAAAATATACAATGTACTATTTTACTTAATGTGAAAATGTTTACATTTAGCGTTCTGATTTTTACATTAAGGGTTATAACAAACCACGGACCTTACTTTATGTGTTTGTAGTTCAGAGTGACCTCAGAGTGACCTCATCGTATTGAATTCTCATAAGAAGGCGTGTTGATTTCTACAAATCAAATCAATCAATACCTACCACCTTGCATCCTGCAGGGGAAGCACACAAAATGAAACCTCATATAAAATTATAATTTGCTGCTCTAACATAGCAACTTTGCAGATTTTAATACTTTAGGGTATACGTAATCACAAATGCTTGACCAAACTTTTATTTGAAAATCGCAAATAGCGTAAAACAAACGGCAGGAGAAGTCGTCTCCCAAACGAAAAATTCATCCACTGAGGGAATTCCTCTCATTTGGGTTAAAACAGGTTCCCGATGTTTGACGCGCTGTGCAATTTCAACGGTCATGATCATGACGCTCGGACCGTCGCCCAGTCTGCCTCGGATTTTTTAATATATTGTCTTTCTTCTGTCTGCTCATCCATTGGATTACCATATCCACAAATTATGTCACCTAAACAACACTGAAGATGGCTTCAGTTGTTTACTCAGGGGAATAATCCCTGACAGGCATTAATGTGTGGAATAGGGCTGAGGGCAGCTGTTATTTTATTACCCAAACAGGATGTGTGTAATAAAACGCTAGTTACCGATTGTTAATTGTTATTTTAAATTAATCACAATGTCAAGATTAAAGGTCGTTTCACACATTCAACAATGTATACAATGGTGTTATTTTTGTAGGATTAACAGAAATAGCAGAAACAGTGTGTATAACGGCTAAAAATCAACAGATAAAAAAACGCGGCAAATGCATTAGTCAATGAAAACACTTTAGAGGGGCGGTCGGGTAGCCTAGTGGTTAAAGCGTTCGCTCGTCACGCCGAAGACCCGGGTTCGATTCCCGACATGGGTACAATGTGTGAAGCCCATTTATGGTGCACCCCGCCGTGATATTGCTGGAATATTGCTAAAAGCGGCGTAAACCATACTCACACACTCACTTTAGAATATACGATGTATCTTTCCTGACATAGTTGCTATTATTAAAACACCAAGATAACAAACGTCATGAATTTAGATAAATAACAACAGTAACTATGTTTTAGATCCAAATTCGGACTGCTTTGAAACCACTCTACTAGAACTGAATAGCACCTTATGTGACCTGATCAGCGACCTTGAGAGAGTGATAGCATCTCAACCAATTGATTGTCCTCCACGTAAGTATAGAAACAACCTGTTGGTTGTCCTCCACGTAAGTATACAAACAACCAGTTGGTTGTCATCCGCGTAAGTATAGAAACAACCAGTTGATTGTCCTCCATGTAAGTATACAAACAACCAGTTGGTTGTCCTCCACGTAAGTATAGAAACAACCAGTTGGTTGTCCTCCACGTAAATATAGAAACAATCAGTTGGTTGTCCTCCACGTAAATATAGAAACAACCAGTTGGTTGTCCTCCACGTAAATATAGAAACAACCAGTTGGTTGTCCTCCACGTAAGTACAGAAACAACCAGCTGGTTGTCCTCCACGTAAGTATGAGATAAATTAAGTGCAAAATCAAAGAGATTGTTGATCTGAACTGCCCTGCCGATGCCTGGACAGATTAAATTGATACAGTCAGTTTTGGGAACATTCGAGCTGAAAGAACTGGTACACTACAAAAGAATAAGATCCAAATACAGACACTGTGTGTTTTGCAAATTCAGTCATAAATCCCTATGGTCATAACCATTATGCTTGTGTACTTGAATGCTCGTATTAAGTATTGTATTTCTGGACACGTCCATCACCTTCTGTGTCCAGGCTGCTATGACATGCATTTGGTTTATGTTAATATTGTCCAGTATATACTAATATTTACTAGTTTATATGCGGAATTAAACTGGGTAGAATAATCCGAAAATCGACTTTGCTCCATAACATTTTACTGTTTTACAGTCGAAGGATGTGCTGCACTTGTGGCTGGATGCTCGTCTTCTGACATTGCTGTGGTTGACCCCGTTGGAACGATCCTTCCAAGTATAGACGCAGGCAGTGACGTCAGCGCGCTTACAGTTTGTGGATCTCAGGATTCTGATTACTCCATCTACTACATCACGAATGACCTTATAGGGACATTCATTGTGTTCTGCTTGGCCCTTCCAAATGGGACTATAAGCAGTCTTGGATCGGGTACGTCTATGCCAATAGAACTGATACGTCAATAATCAAACAAAAAAGGGGTTAAACCCCACTGGCATTTTCTTTTGAGTTTCACTTCCTGAAGTAGTACATGCATAACATAGAAAGTCTTTGTTAATCCGAGACTGAAATGAAATTCGCACTAAATGATATCTCTGATTATTCTTGGGGGCACGGGTGGCCCAGTCGTCTAAGGCGCCGCGATTCGCTGTGCAAAGTTGCGTCCCTTTGGCACGCCAGAAACCTATGATTGTGGTTCGAATCCCGGTTTGCCCCGATTATGTTTCTAGGTTTGTCAGCACCATACCCATGCTCGTGGGTTTCACCGAAGTGGTAAACCTGCATCACTTCGGACTTTCCCCTCACATTAAGCTGACAGGCCGTGATATAACTGGAATACTGTTAAAATCGGCGTTAAACACAACTAAATCACTCACTCTGATTATATTGAAACTCCAATATAAGTATGGACCTGAAACTAATTATGTAATAACGAATACGTTGTTCACGATGAAAGGGTCATCACTAGATAATCTTATGATGTGGAAACATGTTTAACAGATTAAACTGTAATAATTCTATTTTGAACACATAATGTTTTTGGTCTCGTTGCCTAATACAAATATATACATGTATATGTTTCCTTTTGTCATGAAGTCTTTACTCCTTTCATTTTGTTTTGCTCTCTCTCTCTCTCTAACTGGAGTACTGTTAAAAGCACCGATAAACCCAACTAACCCACTCTCTCCCTCCCTCTTCCTATCGACTAGATGTGATTGGTCTAGGAATCGGTATTGCGTGTTGTGGAGATGACGTTTTCGTCTCCATTGAAGACAACGATGGACACCACGTCCTTCTGCGTCTTGATATGTCGGGAAATGGCCACGCGCTTCTCACGGTTGCATGTAGCGGGATAGTCAGAGCTTATAACAGGTCAGTATCTCAGTTTTGTTTCTGGATTTCACACATCATTTTCTGTTCATATCGCACCGGTTGCTTCATTATTTATTTAGAATTAACTTATAAATTAGTATTGAATAATGTCTCAATGCATATTTTTTTTATCTGAAAAAATATAGAACTATGTCATGTTTTACGAAATGATCAGTTCCTGATATCAATAGTTTAGTGAGTCTTTCCATCATTAGTTCTAGGATGAGGACAAGAGAGTAAGATCGATGTTATTCAGATGTCATTTTGATCTCATATAATTAGGTGAGTGAGAGCGTGAATGAGTATGATTTTACGTCGCTTTTAGCAATATTCCAGCAATATCATGGCGAGGCACACCATAAATGGGCTTCACACATTGTACCCATGTGAGGAATCGAAACCGGGTCTTCGGCGTGACGGGCAAAGTCAGTGGCACCATGTAGGATAGCACACACTTATTCAAGATATTCAACGTAAGAATCAGATTTATTCAGTTGGGTTGTCGCAGGCAAAGGTGTTTAGCGACGTGGTGTTGCCTGCAGCTAAAAAGGACGTCAAACACATTGCAGGTGGCCGTTTAAAGCAATACCACTTGCCATTTGGCAGAACAGTATCGAGAAAATAAACAGTTATTTTTGTTTATTGTAATTGCCTTCTTTTTTTCTTGTTTAGGCGAGTGTATTTCAGCAACTGCAAGGAAATCCAGTGCGTCAACAAATCAGGTGAAGATTTGGAAACCAAAGTGAAGTTTTCGACGAACATTAAGTCGTTTGATGTCGTTGACGAAGGTTTGTAAGGAAACATATATCCAATCCTTGTTAATATGGAACTGAAGAAATAATTTAACAAACCATTTGTCAATTCTCTAAAACTCCCTAAAATATTCAAATCATATCATTCTGTTTGTATTTCTCTACCTTTTTAGAGAATAGTGTCGGCTACTTTTCAAACCGGTTAAATTTCTCGAAATTTGCTAATTAATATCTAACCTAGTGCTCTCATGTCTGCTAACAGGAAGCCATTCATTATATTATATTATGTTTTTTTCTTTCAAAAGAAAGGATAGTGTTTTGTGATACTGCTGGTGGGCTGTGGATCTACAACATCAACGAAGACTGTTTCAAGCTGCTGGACTGCAATGCCACCAAACCATGTTGTGATGTCAAGATCAACAACTGTACATCGCTCATCTACGTGGCCTACTCTTCTGATGCGTAAGTGGAGTGAGTGAGTGAGTTGAGGTTAACGCCGCTTTTCACATTATTCCAGTTATATCACGGCGTGTCAGCTTAATGTGGGAGGAAAGCCCGAAGTGATGCAGGTCTCAGACGTTTACCACTTCGGTGAAACCCACGAGCACGGGTATGGTGCTGACAAACCTAGAAACATAATCGGGGCACACCGGGATTCGAACCCACAATCATAGGTTTGTGATTGTGGCGTGCCAAACGGACGCAACGCTGCACAGCGAATCTGGATGCCCCCTCCTCCTCCCCCCCCCCCCCCCCCCCCCCCGCGTAAATGAAAAGATGTCTTTTAAAAGATAATTTACTTAATATAACGACAGCTTAATGTATCAGAATCATGGCATATCATACAAACAAATTATACTCAACTATTGTCGATTGCACGGCACTTAAAACAGCTTCCCTGGTTGTACGATTGCAAAACAAAAGCAAGAAAATGTCCATGTTTTACTTTTACTTCTGTGAGTATTTGATTCTCACTTTTCTCTCACAACACATTGGCAGAGATACAAATACTGCCCTGGACTTGCCATAAAGGCCTCATCTGTGGAGTGATATGATAGCAACGCCATCCTTTTGCCTCTTTCAGTGACCTTGACATTTTCAACCCCGATACCTGTGAAAAGGATGGAACGTTGACCTACACCACGTCCGAGCCCACTGAATGCCCGAGGCTCGAGTTCAAACCTCCCTGGTATGTTAAATCATAACACAAAAGCAGTTATGTATCATCTGATGTACGCATAACATATGCAAAAATTCAAAAATGCGCAATGAACCGAGAAATGGGACACTCTTTCTGACTTTTTTTTCTGAAAAGATGAGAAGGTATTAATGTTTGTTGTTTAACGCCACACTCAGCAATATTCCAGCTATATGACGGCGGTCTGTAAATAATCGAGTCTGGACCAGACAATCCAGTGAATGACATAAGCATTGATCTATATTTGATTGTTTTTGTTGTTGCTTAACACCGCATTCAGCAATATTCCAGCTATATGACGGCGGTCTGTAAATAATCAAGTCTGGACCAGACAATCCAGTTCATGACATCATGAGCTTCGATCCACGCAATTGAGAAACGATGACATGCATCAACCAAGTCAGCGAGCCTGACCACCCGATCCCGTTAGTCGCCTCTTACGGCAAGCATAGTCGCCTTTTACGGCAAGCATGGGTTGCTGACGACCTATTCGACTCCGGATCTTCACGGGTCTATTGATCTTTATAATATGTAAATAAGATACGATGACATGCATCAACCATGCAAGCAGGCCTCACTACGCGATCCTTGACAAGCATGGGTGTCTCAAGACTGATACTAACAAACTCTCAAACTCAAACTCATTTATTCTCATAAAAACACAGCGGTGTTACATGAGATACAATTATATACAATTTTTGTTATGTACAAAATGAAGCATTTAAGAAGAATAATAAAAATAGGGTACGTGGATACTAATACAATTTACCAATTTACCATTTGTATTGTACGCATTGTTAAGGAATTCAGATAGTTCTTTTAGATCTCTTACACTGATAGTGGGCATAAGGATCTGGAAAGCGGAGGGGGGTTGGGGGGGATTTGTTGACACTTATAAATAGAAAGTTAGTTCGCCTGAACCAGTTGTTCTTTTGTTTATTACAGTGACTAGAGGAAATCAAGGGAAACGACTAATGCAGGTTAAGTATGCCTGTGATTTCGAGTTACAGTCAAGTCTGTAATCAATAAAACGTTCTGAACACAATTTATGTTTGTTATGTGTCTGATAGACAAATGTAGTACTACCTCACTTTCATCCAAGACAATTTGTGTTGCTTGTGATTAAGACAACAGATGAAAGTGATTCATTGAAGATCAAGTTGGCGGTGGGGTAGCCTCGTGGTTAAAGCGTTGGCTCGTCACGCCGAAGACCCGGGTTCGATCCTTCACATGGGTGCAATGCGTGAAGCCAATTTTCCGGTTTCCCCAGCTGTGATATTGCTGGAATATTGCTAATAGCGGGGTAAAACTATACTCACTCACTGACTGAAAATCAAGAGGCGAATAAGTACTGCCCTTCCTCAGATCTGCATCGAGTTAACAATAAAACAATAATAATGGTTCCGGGCCTTCCGTTATTGGATACTTGTCCAGGAACCCCATCCATGGTATCTCTCAGGACACCATGGTGGATACAAAGCTCCCACAATCTGGTATCAGTCAACAGACGACTTTGTTGACACCAGGGCCCACATGCACAAAGCGATCTTAGCGCTACGACTAGTGTAAGCCTATGTTAAAGCGTGGGAGTTACGATCATCTTAGCGCTAAGATCGCTTTGTGCAAATGGGCCCTGGGCATTTGTCAACACGTGCATCTCTTAAAATCAGATCTTAGTTCTCGCTACCGCTAAACAAAGATCTGAGTACATCCCATTGCGGGTCATGTCAGACCGACCTTGCGCGAACTTTGATCGATGAATGGAATGACTGACAAGAAGTTGACATTAGCCAATCAGAAGGCAGCTTACTCGTGCTTTACGCCACTAATTTCAAATTGGCGACTACGCTTCGAAATATATTTTGACAAATTCTCGATTAAAAATTTGAAACCTGAACAAAAGAACAATCTTGAATGGCTTAAAGATGGCCTAGATTGTATGGATTCAGTCGTTAACCCCGTAACTATCGTTCGGAATACCCCGTGTAAAAGTTTTCGAGGATGCATGTTTAGAAATCCCACTCCGACTGTCACTTTCATGATCTGGTAAGCGACGCTCTAATTGGTCGGATGAAAGGTCGTATTGACCCCTACTGGGATGTCCTCAGATCTTTGTTTAGCGGTAGTGAGAACTTAGATCTGATTTTGAGATTGATCTTTCAGTAACCTACAAGAGATCTCATGGGTGGCCCAGTCGTTGTGTAAAGTTGCGTCCATCGGGCACGCCAGAAACCTATGATTGTGGGTTCGAATCCCGGTTCGCCCCGATTATGTTTCTAGGTTTGTCAGCACCATACCAATGCTGGTGAGTTTCACCGAACGTTTGAGACCTGCATCACTTCGTGCTTTCCTCCCACATTAAGCTGACACGTCGCGATTTAACTTAAACTGTTAAACGTTAAACCCAACTCACTCACTCACTCACTCACTCACTCGATGACCGCTATACGTTGAAACGGCGCAACTCAAACAAAATGCGCGTTATGATATGGGACCTTCAATCAATATCATTCCAATTATTTAACTTAATTTTGGCAACAGACGTTTGTAAAAAAACTTTGGAAAAGTAAAATTGTCATTTCTACACTGCTGTGTATACGGATAACAGGCGAAGTGATGTAAAATTGAATTTAACGTCGCGTTCTGATTACTGCACTTATATGGCGACGTGCATGTGAGTGTGTGTGTGTGGCTGTTTGTTCTAGTCCAGACTAATGCCGATTTTTATAGTGCTAGCCCATTGAGATACCATGACTCCGAACCGAGCAGTACTTTTTTTAGTCCCTTAATGCCGAGCTCCAGGCAGGGTGACAACAAGTACCATCTTTTGGCATGATCGAACTGCCGACCTTCCTCTCTCCGTATAGACGCTTTACTACGACACCACGGAGGTGGAATTGTGTCATACAAATTGATGACTTGTAGTACCATGTTGGGTGATTCAAATGTACACGTGCGTTTGTTTTCATTCAGGAAACGGCTTCACTGGAATATTCTTTCAGCCAACTAGACATCAAGTCCAAATGTTGCATTCTCGCTTTGTCGACTTTAGACAAAACATGCTATGTACCAAAAACACGAGAATGCGAGACCGCGAGATCGCGAGATCGCGAGATTTGGGTCAAATCTCGCGTTTTGGCGATCTCGCATTCTCGTTATTGAACATGTCACTTACTAGTGAGTGAGTATGGTTTTACGCCGCTTTTAGCAATATTCCAGCAATATCACGGTGAGGGACACCAGAAATGGGCTTCACACATTGTACCCATGTCGGGAATCGAACCCGGGTCTTCGGCGTGACGAGCGAACGCTTTACCCATTAGGCTACCCGACTGCCCCCGTCACTTACTATAAGACTTAGGGAGGATAAGAGCTTTTGTTGAAGTAGTTCTCGTGTTTTACGGCAATATGGAAACCTTGAAGAGGGACCACGTCTCCATTCGCATTGTCCCAGAATGGCACGAGTTGGTCACGAATGCCAGCAAACACGTATCCGGCAGTGGATGCTTTGGAGGACACAGTGTCAAGGTCAAGTTCACCGGATCTTTACCTTTTTTGTATCTTGGTATCAGATGGTGGACACCCCTACGGATTGTTCCAAGACAAGTGTAGAATATAAGCTATGGCTGCCATTCACCCAATTTCACATTATTGAAATAGTACAATTATTGTCCCCAGATAATCTAAGTAAGGAAATAGACCATTTGTTGACCAGATAAAACCATTATGTCCTATCGCTTCTAAAGATAAAATTATATTGAAAAGTTAATATTGATATTGACAAACAGTGTTGCATAAATTTGAAAAAGTCCTGATATATGGTATTGCGGAGAAAGCATAAGCAATTTGAGAAGTTATATAAATATGTTCATTTTCAAATTAAGTGTATGCAAAAAGGAAAGTGACGGTCACGTTGAACCGTTCTATCACATAAATGCATGGTAGAAATTTCACCAACAATAAGCGAAACGTATTTCATTTCTTATTTTTCCTAATTAAACATTTGACTAACGGTCACTGAAATATTCATTCACTTCGGCATGCTGGGTATATACTCAAAGAAACAGATGCAGTGTATATGGCGAAAACGTTCAAACCCGAAATATCGAATTATAAACATACAGGAGGGGGCAATAACACGCGCCAGGTTTGATAAACATATTATGATTGTTGCAATCAATATAATTGAAGTAAAAGTGACAAAGTTTTTTCCATATTAAAAACGAAACCTGTGCTAAAAAGCAGAGTACATCGTGTTACGTGCTGTGTGTGTTGTACACATGTCTGGATAGTCATAGACAACTCAGGTTAAAACTTCAGCGTTAATTACAATTTGCATGGCAGACATATGCAAAGGGAAACAACTCTTATGACAAGACTGCATACCACGTAACACATTGTACAATACGGACTATATCATAGGCATGTTTTTATTATTCATTATGAAATAGGGATGATAGAAGGTATTCTTGATAAGGTGAGCCTACTCTGTCCAGCCGATGGCAATTGTTTAACTGAAAAAAACACACGGAACATATGGTACAAGTCAGAATAAGGAAAAGCATTGGACAACGTTTCGATCGCTGATGCGTTTAATTTGAAAATGTCCTCAACATGTCTATTAAGCATAAGAGATAGTTGCTCAAAGCAGAGTCCACTGTAATATTCTAACTATATCATGGGCATGTTTTTATGAATCATTATCAAATAGTGATGGTACCGGGAGTGAGCACATCCACCAGTGGCACTCATCACATACAAATACATAGTAAACTGTTTGCATGAAAAAATAACACGGGAACACATGGTTGAAGTCAAAATAGTGAATTGCATCAGACATAATTTTGCTCGATGGTGCGACAAATTTGCAATTTTCCTTCACATGTAAACCATTAAACTTTTTGAAAGCTTTACTGAGGCCTTGAACAACTACTGAACAAGTGTCATAACACGCTCATTGGCATGCTCGATTGCCATGTTGTACCATGTTGGGTGATTCATATGATAAGTCCTGATATATGGTATTGCGGAGAAAGCATAAGCAATTTGATGTGTTATATAAATATGTTCATTTTCAAATTAAGTGTATGCAAAAAGGAAAGTGACGGTCACGTTTAACCGTTCTATCACATAAATGCATGGTAGAAATTTCACCAACAATAAGCGAAACGTATTTCATTTCTTATTTTTCTAAATTAAACATTTGACAAACGGTCACTGAAATATTCATTCACTTGGGCACTCTGGGTATATACTCAAAGAAGCAGATACAGTGTATACGTCGAAAACGTTCAAGCGTGAAATAGAAACACCAAAGGCTGGAGCTGCTGGATTATTCCTGGATTATTGCTCAACTATTGAACCAATGGAGAGCTGAAGTCATCCCTAGTGTCAGGTAGTCTTCATCTTACCGAGGCAAGAGCGTTAACTGACTTTACAAGTCCAGTTTCCACCCTTGCCGAACTAGCCTGGAATTCCTGGGCTCGATCGTAGCGCCAACAGTGGCTATTACAAGTAATGTCCATTCTATGCCTCTCCCATATGGACCAATGAGATTCCAACTCTCGTATCACATGCATTTGCTTCAAACAAAATTGTGGCGTCAAGAGGATCTGATCGACCATCAAGTTCTATTTTGTGATGAAACGGTTCTTACTCCGCGAGGTACATCAAATCACGCGAGCACCTTGACTGATAACATAAAAAGATTTGGAAAATATCTGTTGACAACGAGCTGGCGATGCACATGCTTGGCCAATCATGCAATCGACCGAACTCTGCATGACAGTTTACGAACCCGATTGCGATTTCGTTGCGCGATTTTGATTGGACTATGCATAGACTCGTTAGTCCAGCCGAAATGCAACTCCAGAATCCCAGCCTAGTTCGGCAAGGGTGGAAACTGGACTTTTATAGTCAATTAACTCTCTTGCCTCGGGAAGATTGGGAGTCTTATGAATAGTTTTTGTCTCTCTAAATCTTTATGCAGAGATCTTTTATTTCTAGTTCAGGTGAATAATCAGTGAAAGGGAATTGGGTATTTCAACATCAAAGAAGAAAAGAAGAAGAAAAAGAGTGTATTTATGTGTCACGCATTACAACAATTAAAATTTTTTTTAGCTCAAATGCCCGGCCCTCGTATAACTCAGTACGCTTTAGATGGAATGTGCGACAAATTGTCTCGAACCTATAAAGAGAGACACGAAGCTATATCTGTGGTGACCACGATTAGTGACATGTGTCTAATGGAGTGAACTATCGTGTGGGATAATGGTGTACACAGTTGAAACATCAAATGGGTTGTTGTCTCAAGGAGCAAGGGTGGCCAAGACGTCTAATGCAGAGTTCCGTCCCTTGGGCACGCCAGAAACCTATGATTGTGGGTACGAAACCCGGTTCGCCCCGATTATGTTTCTAGGTTTGTCAGCACCATACCTGTACTCGTGGGTTTTCCCGAAGTGGTAAAGCTCTAAGACCTGCATCACTTCGGGCTTTCCTCCCACATTAAGCTGACACGCCGGAATACTGATGACCGGATAACCTGATAAAAAGCGGCGATAAACACAACTCACTCACTCGTTTCTGAGATTGCAAAACTCCAAGCAAATCCTTTTGGAATTAACTCCATTTGTCTCAAATACTTTCTGTGACCATAAAGAAAATCCTTCCTTGGTTGTACTGAGAATTATGGTTCATCCCCTGACAGTGATTGGGTGGTAAATTAGCTGTACCCATCAATATCTCTCTCTTTGTATAGATTTGTATGTGGCTTTGGAATCCAGTACACCAATCTTGCCACTAATCTGTTGTATTGTATTCGCCTGATTTGAGCAGAATAGCAAACTATATTCTGATTAAGATCGTTTATTTGGACAAAGGCATGTTCACATGTTACAAAAAGCCATCAGAAGTTGCTCTAAAGTTGGTAGGCCAGTGTCCCTGAAACATAAACAACGTTTCATTGTAACAGAGCAAATAAAATGTATGTCTGCAACCAACTCAGTAATCATCTGTTTCCCGGCGACCTGTACACGAGTCTGGACAACACAGCACAGTGATTGATATTATGAAGAACGTCCCACATAATCTGCCCGACGAAGGGGGCCATTGTTGTAGCTAAAGTGGAGATAATTTGTCCTCATCATGTTAATATCCCTGAACCAACCCAATCAAACAGCAACGTATGGCAGTTGTTATCAACACGAAGGACACAACAGATATCAGCGTGACACTGGCCTAGAAACGTGTCATTAACAAAGGAATTCGTCACTGTGAGTCGCGTGACGTCATTCGACCTTGTCCTTCGATTCCGCAAACATTGAATATAATCAGTTTTGTGACAGTCGTCCATCATACAGTGGTCCGTTATAATACAGTAGTCCGTTTTAATACAGTCGTCCGTTACAATACAGTCGTCCGTTATAACACAGTCGTCCTCAACAATACAGTCGTCCATTACAATACAGTCGTCCTCTACAATACAGTCGTCCGTTATAATACAGTCGTCCTCAACAATACAGTCGTCCATTACAATACAGTCGTCCTCTACAATACAGTCGTCCGTTATAATGCAGTCGTCCTCTACAATACAGTCGTCCTCTACAATACAGGCGTCATTTACAATACAGTCGCCCTCTACAATACAGTCATCCGTTACAATACAGTCGTCCGTTATAATACAGTCGTCCTCTACAATACAGTCGTCCTCAACAATACAGTCGTCCGTTACAATACAGTCGTCCTCTACAATACAGTCGTCCGTTATAATACAGTCGTCCGTTATAATACAGTCGTCCGTTATAATACAGTCGTCCTCTACAATACAGTCGTCCATTACAATACAGTCGTCCTTTACAATACAGTCGTCCTCTGCAATACAGTCGTCCGTTACAATACAGTCGTCCTCTACAATACAGTCATCCGTTACAATACAGTCGTCCGTTATAATACAGTCGTCCTCTACAATACAGTCGTCCTCAACAATACAGTCGTCCTCTACAATACAGTCGTCCTCTACAATACAGTCGCCCGTTATAATACAATCGTCCGTTACAATACAGTCGTCCGTTATAATACATTCGTCCTCTACAAAACAGTCGTCCGTTATAATACATTCGTCCGTTACAATACAGTCGTCCGTTACAATACAGTCGTCCGTTACAATACAGTTGTCGGTTACAATACAGTCGTCCGTTACAATACAGTTGTCCGTTACAATACAGTCGTCCGTTACAATACAGTTGTCCGTTACAATACAGTCGTCCTCTACAATACAGTCGTCAGTTGCAATGCAGTCGTCCGTTACAATACAGTCGCCCGTTATAATACAATCGTCCGTTGCAATACAGTCGTCCGTTACAATACAGTTGTCAGTTACAATACAGGCGTCCGTTACAATACAGTCGTCCTCTACAATACAGTTATCCGTTACAATACAGTCTCCCTCTACAATACAGTCGTCCGTTACAATACAGGCGTCCGTTATAATACAATCGTCCGTTACAATACAGTCGCCCTCTACAATACAGTCGTCCGTTACAATACAGCCGTCCGTTATAATACAGTCGTTCTCAACAATACAGTCGTCCTCTACAATACAGGCGTCAGTTATAATACAGTCGTCCTCTACAATACAGTCGTTCGTTACAATACAGTCGTCCTCTACAATACAGTCGTCCGTTATAACACAGTCGTCCGTTATCATACAGTCCGTTACAATACAGTCGTCCGTTACAATACAGTCGTCCTCTACAATACAGTTGTCGGTTACAATACAGTCGTCAGTTGCAATGCAGTCTTCCGTTACAATACAGTCGTCCGTTACAATACAGTCGCCCGTTATAATACAATCGTCCGTTACAATACAGTCGTCCGTTATAATACATTCGTCCTCTACAAAACAGTCGTCCGTTATAATACATTCGTCCGTTACAATACAGTCGTCCGTTACAATACAGTCGTCCTCTACAATACAGTTGTCGGTTACAATACAGTCGTCCGTTACAATACAGTTGTCCGTTACAATACAGTCGTCCGTTACAATACAGTTGTCCGTTACAATACAGTCGTCCTCTACAATACAGTCGTCAGTTGCAATGCAGTCGTCCGTTACAATACAGTCGCCCGTTATAATACAATCGTCCGTTGCAATACAGTCGTCCGTTACAATACAGTTGTCCGTTACAATACAGTCGTCCGTTACAATACAGTTGTCCGTTACAATACAGTCGTCCGTTACAATACAGTTGTCGGTTGTAATACAGTCGTGCGTTAGAATCTTTAGTAAGTCGATCTTTAGTGAGGAATCGGTCTGAGGGACTTATTTCGACCCAGAATTACATGTCTGAAGTTGTGACTGGTCATTTTCCGTTATCCATTCATTTATTTCTGATTCCTATGTTGTCTTTGTCGCTTAATGAAATCTGTTTCAGTGGATAATCTCCGAGAGAAAGATTACAAGATTTAAAGGTAGCTTACCAACATCACCCACGATGTCTATGGCAGGTGCATCTGTATGGCCACCCATGGTAACGGTCACAGATTGCAGGCCTGTTGTATGGACAACTGCAGCAGCCACATTGTCCGTGCACAAAACATGTGGCGCCGCAGCATCCTCCGTATGCGTCTACATCGGCTGTAACAACAGCGTCTAATTCAGACAATATAAGGGTGGGGAATGGTTGGGGTGTGGGGGTGGGGGGGTGGGGGCTTCACGTCAGAAGTAGGGTAGTGGAGTTGGATACACAAGGGTCACGAGTGAGTGAGTAAGTAAGTGAGTTTGGTTTTAGGCCGCTTTAAACAATATTCCAGCAATATCACGGCGGGGGACGCCAGAAATGGGCTTTACACATTGTACCAATGAGGGGAATCGAACCCGGGTCTTCGGCGTGACGAGCGAACGCTTTAACCATAAGGCTACCCGACCGCCCTACAAGGCATTCATATTGGTATCTCTGTCATAACAAAATGCAAGCGACACATTCAAGACCCTACTCTCACGAATCAGTATTACAATCAGAAGAGATTATCCAGCTGCAGCAACAACAATCACTGTGTCAACGTGCGTAGAGTCGTATGCAACAAACATGCGGTGATATAAAACTTCAAAGCGTTTTATTGTAAACATGTGGAAGACATTTCCAAATTTGATGCATCAGTGACAAAATTGATGTCCGATGCAATTCCCTATTATGACTTGTACCATATGTTCCAGTGGGTTTTTTCAGGTGAACAATTGACTTGCGTTTGCATGTGTTTGTGACGGGTGCCACCGGTGTGGCAGGATACGATCACCTATTCGCGAACATCTGGTATAATCACTATTGATAGAGATTCACAAACAGTTGCTTATTATATAGTCAGAATCGTACAATCGACACTGTTTTGGCAGAGAATTCCTTGGAATATGGAAAGGGTTTTGTCGCTTTTATGTACATATATACATGTATGTTTAAATACGAGATAGACCACCAGCATGCAATGATATACAGTAAACTACGGTTATAACGAACACGCTTATAACGAACTGACGGATATAACGAACTTACTTTTTTGTCCCTAAAATTTGCTGTAGTTATGCTGTATATATGCTTATAACGAACTACGGTTATAACGAACTAAACTCAGTGGTCCCTTTGGGTTCGTTATAACCGTAGTTTACTGTACCTATATGTGAGGTACGCTTGTCAGAGGCCCAATTCCAGAAACATATATTTGTTTATATCAAATCACTTTTGTATCCTTTGCGTTCTTTGTGTTAGCTACAGGATTGATACAAAAACCTCGAGAAGGGGAATAGTTTCGGTTTGAAAATATACAACTACCAATCATGAACTACTGGTATAAATGAAGAAAAAAGGCTATATTTGAAGGCTAATACAGTCTTGTACTTTAGGCTGAAATAACTTGACCTAATATACAGCTGCTAATTGAATCGAAATCCTTCACTCACCCACGAGGGCGGTTCCCAGGTACAACGCGGCAAACAGCACGAGGCAGGCAGTCTTCATGTTGGGAGTCGGTGTTGTCGACATATGCGGCCATTATATAGCCTCAAAAGAGAAAGAAATAATCAGTTAAAGTGTCACTGCTGTCAACTCTCCTGAAAAAAGGATTAATTTATATATGGCCAAAAAATGGCCAAATGAAATAGTTTTTTTTCAATTGAGGTGAATTAGAATGGCGTTAAGATTATTTCACTTATATAGTACAGTAAAATACGTTTATAACGAACACGCTTATAACGAACTGACAGATATAACAAACTTATTTTTTGGTCCCGGCCATTTGCTGTATATTTGTTGTATATATGTATACAACGAACTACGGTTATAACGAACTATAATTAGCGGTCCCTTTGAGTTCGTTATTACCGTAGTTTACTGTAACGTACATGCACGTCTGTGCTCGAATTAATCTGGACTGAAGCTGGTATTATAGTGCTAGCACACCGAGATACCAAGCCAGGGTTACAACAAGAACCTCTTTAAACGCAGTTGGTATGACGAGACCAAGGGATGAAACCACCGACCTTCCGCTCTCCGGGCAGACGCTGTATCCACTAGACCACGGAGGCAATCTTTGTAGGTTGAGATTCTTCCGAGCCAGAATTTTGCATACCGATTTCATTGGGTTTAAATTAAAATTCATATTTTTTTTTATTTAGCGTATATTTACATTTTAATACGGTACCACACGTAAATGGACAACAAGACCATAAGATACCACCAGGTTCAACAGTTAATTTAAACAACATTTGGACATGAATGTCCAGAAGAATCCGCTAGCCAAAACAGGAACTGTAGGTTCGTATCCCATTATCTTAAAAACTAATACGCGTGAAGGAAACAATGAATAATAATTATACATAATTTTTATACATAAACAATGAGTGTCACAAGCTCCTTCCCAGCGCGTGACATCTTCGTTACATTCTCGGTAACATCGCTGCCACCAGTGTGAGCGCGGCCATTACAAGAATCTTGAAATGTGCCCTCTAACCCCATATGTTGTTACGTTTATACTTTTGTTTATGTCTTTGGGAATGCCATCATATTTCATTTTGAAAAGGTTTATGACTGACCATGTTTTCCAGATGATTTTTCTTTGTTGTTTTAATAATCAGATTGGTTCGAGATTGCAGACTAACGGAAAATCTTCCAACTTCTCTCATACATTCTTACTATATCAATTAAAGATAATAGTTTTATTGAAATAGAAATTCAAATTGACAAACAAGGAAAGTAATTCAGCGGTAAGTGTATTCGGCGTCACGACAGTCGTCACTTGTTTGTAAACATAACGGTCATTCAGTTGCGAGTTCAACTCCAAGCATGGTTGGGGCCACCTATCACAGTGGGGAGTATTGATTGGTGGCAGCGATAGTAAAGAGAGCTCCGCGAACGGACTATCGCTGTAAGGAGCTCGTGAGTGTCAGCGTTGAGATGTCAGCCATGCCACCTGTCAGAAAGGATCTGAGGTGAGGTGAGGTGAGGTGAGGTGAAATGGGGTTTAACGTCGCGTCCAAGATTATTGCACTTATATAGCGACGTGCATGTACGTGTGTGTGTTTGTGTGGCTGCTTGTACTAGTCCGGACTAATAGAGCGGCAGCCCAGAGCACTTTGGTCAAACGAACAAGGTACCAATATCCGAACACAGGAACATTTACTGTGTAACCCAACATATTCATATATAGATGTCTGCCGGGGAGCCCCTGCTGTCTATGGCCCCTGGCCCCGCAAAAGAAGGGGCCATTCAAGGGCTGGATCAAACATTGGAGGTACCACATGAAAGTAAGTGTAAATGAACTGTTACATCTCACAGAGTACAGAATGGGCCACGCCAGACAAATCTTCCTCTGCAAAAGGCCTGCCAGACACCCCCAAAGAGGGTCCCAAAATTTGGGCTGGGTTAAACATTGGAGGTACCACATGAAATCAACATAAAATGAACTATTTCACTCTACTAAGAATAAAAACCCCATTGCCAGACAAATCGTCTGCTGCATAAGGCCCGCCAGACACCCCCAAATGTTGACCCTTAATGCACTCAGTGGACACTCTGGTAAAATTTGACCAGAGTATACATTCAAAGTACCAGATGAAAGTAAGTTTAGAACAACAGGTACATGTTACTGAGTACAACACGGCCCATACCTGACAAATTGTCCTCTGCATAAGGTCCGCCAGACCCCCCAGAGAGGGTCCCAAAATTTGGGCTGGGTTAAACATTGGAGGTACCACACTGGGGGGTCGGGCCTTCAGATTATAACAATTGCAATACAAACCAGGGGGGTCCAAGAAACAGGTTCTCATGACCTGCAAGTATGATCATGTTAATTCTAGTTCAAGTGGGAAATCATGCCATTAAGATAATTACAATGCCAAGACAAACCAGGGTGTGTCAAAGGAAGGTTTCTCACGACTTTCATGTATGATCATGTTTATTCAGTTCAAAGTGTTTTATGATTTGATAAATGCTTCAAGTTATATTGTGATTATAACGTCAGTAGCACTATTATTAAGATTTCATATTTGCATTCAGAGGTTGGCAGAAAAGAAAAGGCTAGGTGTGGTTTGGAAACGGCTTTTCTTTTAACAAAAGAATTCACATTTGCTTGAAAACACAGCTCTATGGTAACAATGATATGGGAATTTATACACAATTCAGTCAATCGTGACAGATCAACAATTGCTTGTTTAGAATTTTGTGTTATGGAAAACACCCTGAATGGATCAGGTTAATGCAACCTAAATTTATTGTGTATGGCTTTCCCTTCTTTATTGAGGGTATTCAAAAACAGATATATATATATATATATATATATATATATATATATATATATATATACACACACACACACATATGAACACTAGGTCATCCTGGGATAGAAGTCTAAACTAAACACATTTAACCGTGGCACAGCTCACGCGCCAATATCATGACTCTCTGTCTAGTGTAAGACGTTTATCCAAACAGATAGATGGCAAATCTGAGACGTAAGGCCTTGTGAACATTTAGATATATAGTGGAGGTTTCATAACAGATATTTGAGTATTGAAATCAAAACCATGTCACATTATGAACATACATTTACATTTAACAACAAGAACAAAATCATAAAACATGATGGGTAATTACATTTCACATTTGGTGGTGCGATAGTTTTGACGAGGTGAATATCAGTAACGGCCCTTCTCTTTTGAACAGAAAAATATTTTTGTATCCAACCGTGACACTCCGAGAAAAGTTGTGAAGATCAGGACGAAAATACATCAAGAATAGAACATTCATCTTTTCGTGTCACCAAACCCTGTTCATCTCTTTCCGTGACCTGACAAACTTGATATTTTCACACAGGTCTGTGCCACGATTTTGTTAGGTTTCTCGATACGATAGATTTTTCGGGACCGACCATAAATATGGAAATATTTGGCCGGAATTCAGCTTTTTAGATGATAAAACTTGCTAAATAAACGGAGATTATAGGTTTTTAAACACAATTATCACCAAAAGATTTCCAAATGGTATTAGGGACTGTCATTTACCATTCTTATAGCAGGCTTTGAGGACTACCTAAGCATGTTTGGGTTTGTAGGAATCCATAGCCAAGCTATCAGGCTATAGCAGGCTTTGAGGACTTCATCATGTCATAGCTGATCAGATATATATTCACAAGAATCAGATTCATGCCTTTTTTTTTTATTACATTTCAACGATAGGCCTAATCTATGATATCAATACTAGTATTCAGAGACCTGATTTTATAAATACGTGATTTTAATCTCAATAAAATCCTTCCATCTTTAAGAACAAAACATAAATTTGACCATCTGTTGACTCTCAGAGCTGATGTCCAATGTTTCATTATGCACACTGGGATTACAGAGGGTCAACTGTGTGGGGTGGGGTGAGGGTCTGTCTAGCGGGCCTTATGCAGTAGAGAATATGTCTGGCAATGGGTATTTTGTAATACGTAGAGTGTAATAGTTCATTTTATGTTGGTTCCATGTGATACCTCCAATGTTTAAGCCTTATGCAGAGGAAGATTTATCTGGTGTGGCCCATTCTGTACGCTGTGATATGAACCTGTTCATTCAAAGCACCTTAATGTGGTACAATCGATACCTGAAGGGTCAACTTTTTGTGGGTGTCTGGCGGGCCTTATGCAGAAGATGATTTGTCTGGCAATGGGTATTGTGCAATAAGTAGAGTGCAATTGTTCATTTTATGTTGGTTTCATGTGGTACCTCCAATGTTTAACCCAGCCCAAATTTTGGGACCCTCTCTGGGGGGTCTGGCGGACCTTATGCAGAGGACAATTTGTCAGGTGTGGGCCGTGTTGTACTCAGTAACATGTACCTGTTGATCTAAACTTACTTTCATCTGGTACTTTGAATGTATACTCTGGTCAAATTTTACCAGAGTGTCCACTGAGTGCATTAAGGGTCAACATTTGGGGGTGTCTGGCGGGCCTTATGCAGCAGACGATTTGTCTGGCAATGGGGTTTTTATTCTTAGTAGAGTGAAATAGTTCATTTTATGTTGATTTCATGTGGTACCTCCAATGTTTAACCCAGCCCAAATTTTGGGACCCTCTTTGGGGGTGTCTGGCAGGCCTTTTGCAGAGGAAGATTTGTCTGGCGTGGCCCATTCTGTACTCTGTGAGATGTAACAGTTCATTTACACTTACTTTCATGTGGTACCTCCAATGTTTGATCCAGCCCTTGAATGGCCCCTTCTTTTGGGGGGGCCAGGGGCCACACGCAGCAGGGGCTCCCTGGCAGACATTCATATGAATATGTTGGGTTACACAGTAAATGTTCCTGTGTTCGGATATTGGTACCTTGTTCGTTTGACCAAAGTGCTCTGGGCTGCCGCTCTATAATGCCGATTTATAGTGCTAGCTCACTGAGATACCATGCCGCAGTTTAACATGAATACCCCTCTCAAACACAGTATACTGACTCTGAGCCGACCAGTCCTTGTTTTAGCCGCTTTATGCCGAGCGCCAGACAGGGTAACGTCTTTTGGTTTGACGCGGTCGGGGATCGAACCCTGGACCTTCCGCTCTCCGGGCGGACGCTCTACCACTAGACCACGGAGGTGGTCAGGACGGATCTGACACGCCAGGACAAGTCGTTCTTGATGATAGAGATCGCTAACCACGATAGAGTTATCCTACAAGTATCAATGGAAATTAAACATCTGGATATCTTTCTACAGCTTGGTGAAGCAAACTGTGTGGTGTTTCTGGCTTTGTTTTGATTTCTTGGTTCGAGCAAAATCGCTGTAAGGGAACTATTGTTTGGAATTTAACTTAAAGAGAGTCTAGGCTAAGGCAAGTTATAACTCCTAGCAAGTTTAATTCAAGCCTTTCAAATACAACTGTGTTTGAGTGACTAGGTACAAATGGAGGGACCGCCCCGTTGATTTTTTATTGCTTATGTATATTAATGTTAAATTCCCTCGGCTTTTTAGTTACCTCTAAGGCGGTAACAAATAAACCAATTGGGCCTTTATAGTATATAAAACATAAGATTGTAAACATTGACAATGTTTCTGGCAGTGAAGTGTATCTCATGAACACAACCAACGTTGCCATGCATAAGGTGATTAGTTTGGTACTGAGGACGATAGTCTGCAATCGCCTCCTGTCACTTTTGAAAACTGACGCCTATTTTTGGTCATTTCTTCTTTGGATAGTACTCCTCGAAAGCTCAATCCATTTGCCGTTGAGAATGTTATACAAGGCATAGCAGTAGATGCTTATAAGATGTAACCGACACAACCCGACACGTCTTCTAACAGCAGTTTTATCATATTTTCTGATAGTATATACTGTTTATAGGCAATCGAAAATCGGCTTTTGCCACTGATACCAACACAAACGGGTAACCAACAAAACGTGAATCCTTTTTCAGCTAGTTTAAAAAAAATCACGTTTTGTTGGTCACCCAGTCGTGAAAAGCAGATGCTCAGGAATAGCCGCTCTCAATAACTCAACTTCAACCACACTCTTGCTGTATTCCGATCTAAAACCTTCCATCGGGGAATATGTGAATGATCATTGGCAGCAAAGTTGGACACCAATAGTTTGATCGAGCTTTTGATTGGCGGCCACACCCATTCTGGTCTATATCGCGATTTGTTGTATTACAACGGTGTCGCTTTGGCCATGGTTATTGCAGACATTATTTTTTATTGACGGGTGAAGATCCACCTTTTTGTATCTATTGCAATTACCATGGAGCACATTTCTTGAATGTGTTGATTTAACACTTTTACAAGCAATGCTTTTATCATAATGTTCATACCTCATCTGAACATTTTAGAACAGTTTCTAACCACTTGATTTTAGCATATTTAAAAGAAATCTCACTTTGTGATGAAATATAGGTTTTTGTGTGAACGGTTAACCGTCAGTTTTTACCCTTGAATGTGATACCATTCGGATGTTTTAGTGATTTTCAACATCGCTTTTATTGTTTGTTTACATATGGTCAGATAAGACATTTTCTCGCCACGAATAGCTGCTAGATCGCCGATGCGGCGTTAAGCAATAATTACTCACTCACTAAAACATGTATAATATCTTTGCTGCGGAAGTCCATATTGTTTTTGAAGTAAAGAGTTTATCTTCGCAAAATCTAAATTTGAGGTCTTTATTTATCATGGGCAAATTCCTCATCGAAATGTGTGGCATTTTCTTGCACTGACGGTATTTTCAGTTTGTTATTATTTAGATTGACAAAGGACTAGTTGCAGATTTTTTAGGACCTTTTAGTTTCTACAAAGAGATTTCTTATGATTATGGAAATGGGTTGGTTCTTTTATTTATGCATAGATTGCAAATATGTTTTTTACATTTTCATGTTACATTTGATTTTACTGCCATCTGAAAACATTGCAAACAATCAGGGTTACAACTTGCAAGGCCTCAGTATATTTTTTAAAAGGTGTACAGATACATGCGCCTTCCTGTGTTTTTTGTGTCAGGTGAACAATTGGCCTGTCTGTGTACATGTTTGTGAAGAATACCATGGGTGGCGCTGCATACGCGCGCGCACCTTTTCACGAACACGTGGAACCATGAACACAAAACCGGATTCGTACAGTATCTGACTAATTGTCAAAGGCTAACTGCTTATTGTTGGAGAGAAATTCTACCCTGAATAAATGGATTGCCGGTGTGATAAAATAGAGCACTTCAGTGTGATCGTCACTTTCACTTTGAAGGCATTTAATCTTAGCTTTGAAATATTATCAAATTCCAAAAATATGTTTTGAATTTTTAAGCAACATATTTTTTCACATTTTACAATATCATGGTTTCAATACTTGATAATGTTATCTTCGGGGACAATTGGACATATTGGTTTTTATCTTTCAACACAAGAAATATTTCTTTGCTATATGAAATTCGGTAAATGGAATGACAAATCCTGGTTTATATCTACACCTACACTAGGAATAATCTGTAGGGGTATCTATCATCTGATACCAGATAGAAACAGTACAGACCCGGTGACCTTTCCATCAACTTGACCTCGACACTAAGATGTGAGGTGTCCGTCACGGCATCCATTACCGGATACCGGGGTTCTGGAAGGCATGACAACCAGACAGGTGTCTGGTGACTGGTACTAGATTGTTAGGGCTTTGTATCCACCGTGGTGTCCTGAGAGATACCACGGATGGGATTCCTGGACAAGTATCCAATAACGGAAGGCCCAGAACCATTATTATTATTTTATTGTTTACAAGATGCAAGGAAGGCAGTACTCATTCGCCTCTTAACCTTCCGTGCCTCACTGGCATCGATTGCCTTAATCACAAGAAGCACATATTGTCTTGTATGCAAGTGGGGCATTACTACAGATGTATGTAAGAAACATAATAAACATAAATCGAGACAAGAACGGTTTATTTTTTACAGACTTGACACGTTGCGTTCTCCACATTCCGCTTGCTTTCGAAATCCATCATTAGTCCATTGCCAGTTCACTGAAAAGCCAAATATATTATTTAGACAAATGTAACAGTACAAGCCCATTAGTAGTCATATATATGACAAATTAGGTCAACTATGTAAGTGGGTGTTGTTGTACGACAAGGAAGGAGATGTGTTCTCCACGGGAGTGAGTGTTGTTGTACGACAGACAGTACCAGACAAGGAAGGAGACGTGTTCTCCATGGGAGTGAGTGTTGTTGTACGACAGACAGTACCTAGTGGGGAAGGAGACGTGTTCTCCATGTGAGTGAGTGTTGTTGTACGACAGACAGTACCTAGTGGGGAAGGAGTCGTGTTCTCCATGTGAGTGAGTGTTGTTGTACGACAGACAGTACCTAGTGGGGAAGGAGACGTGTTCTCCATGTGAGTGAGTGTTGTTGTACGACAGACAGTACCTAGTGGGGTAGGAGTCGTGTTCTCCATGTGAGTGAGTGTTGTTGTACGACAGACAGTACCTAGTGGGGTAGGAGACGTGTTCTCCATGTGAGTGAGTGTTGTTGTACGACAGACAGTACCTAGTGGGGAAGGAGACGTGTTCTCCATGGGAGTGAGTGTTGTTGTACGACAGACAGTACCTAGTGGGGAAGGAGACGTGTTCTCCATGGGAGTGAGTGTTGTTGTACGACAGACAGTACCTAGTGGGGAAGGAGACGTGTTTCCATGTGAGTGAGTGTTGTTGTACGACATAGGGAGTACCTAGTGGGGAAGGAGTCGTGTTCTCCATGTGAGTGAGTGTTGTTGTACGACATAGAGAGTACCTAGTGGGGAAGGAGACGTGTTCTCCATGTGAGTGAGTGTTGTTTTACGACATAGAGAGTACCTAGTGGGGAAGGAGACGTGTTCTCCATGTGAGTGATTGTTGTTGTACGACAGGCAGTTCCTAGTTGGGAAGAAGTGTTCTCCATGTGAGTGAGTGTTGTTGTACGACATAGAGAGTACCTAGTGGGGAAGGAGACGTGTTCTCCATGTGAGTGAGTGTTGTTGTACGACAGACAGTACCTAGTGGGGAAGGAGACGTGTTCTCAAAGTGAGTGAGTGTTGCTGTACGACATAGACAGTACCTAGTGGGGGAAGAGACGTGTCCTGTAGGTTAGTGAGTGTTGTTGAATGACACAGACAGTACCTAGTGGGGAAGGAGGCGTGTTCTCCGTGTGAGTGAGTGTTGTTGTACGACAGACAGTACCTAGTGGGGAAGGAGACGTGTTTTCCATGTGAGTGAGTGTTGTTGTACGACATGGAGAGTACCTAGTGGGGAAGGAGTCGTGTTCTCCACGTGAGTGAGTGTTGTTGCACAACAGGCAGTACCTCGTGGGGGAAGAGACGTGTTCTCCATGGGAGTGAGTGTTCTGGAATGACACAGACAGTACCAAGTGGGGGACGAGACGTGTTCTCCACCTGAGTGAGTGTTGTTGAATAACACAGGCAGTACCTAGTGGGGGAGGTGACGTGTTCTCCATGTGAGTGAGTGTTGTTGAATAACACAGGCAGTACCTATTGGGGAAAGAGACGTGTTCTCTATGTGAGTGAGTGTTGTTGTACGATAAATACAGCACCTTGTGGGGAAGTAGAAGTGTTCTCCATGTGAGTGAGTGTTATTGTACGACACAGATTGTACCTGATGGGGAAGGAAACGTGTTCTTTATGTGAGTGAGTGTCGTTGTATGACAGACAGTACCTAGTGGGGAAGGAGACGTGTTCTCCATGTGGGTGAGTTTCGTTGTATGACAGACAGTACCTAGTGGGGAAAGAGACGTGTTCTCCATGTGGGTGAGTTTCCTTGTATTACAGACAGTACCTAGTGGGGAAGGAGACGTGTTCTCCATGTGGGTGAGTTTCGTTGTATGACAGACAGTACCTACTGGGGGAAAGAGACGTGTTCTCCATGTGGGTGAGTTTCGTTGTATGACATGCAGTTCCTAGCGGGGAAGGAGACGTGTTCTCCACGTGAGTGAGCGTTGTTGTACGACATGCAGTTCCTAGCGGGGAAGGAGACGTGTTCTCCATGTGAGTGAGTGTTGTTGTACGACAGACAGTTCCTAGCGGGGAAGGAGACGTGTTCTCTATGTCAGTGAGTGTTGTTGTACGACAGAGACAGTACCTGGCCAGGAGGGAGACGTGTTCCACACACTCACACACACTCACACACAAACACGCCGGTGAGGGTGATGCACACATATCTCACCTTCGTTGCCACAGCTGCAGCGTTGGGCCGTTAGTGGTCATGACAAGAGCAATGCGGCGGTTTATTGTGTTCCCGATCGCAGATTGCGTTTCTACCGTAATGGCACTTGCATCCACAGCAATCTCTGTGAACCACGCAACTTTGTCCACATCCACGACATTGAGCATCCACTGAAACAACAACGCCCACAATTGTAGTTTTCGTATTAGACTGGAGTCCAGATCATTACCACTCTTCATTAGCGTGTCTCTACATCAGTGTTTTTCCACATCAGTCTGTCTCTACATCAGTGTGTCTCTACATTAGTGTATCTCTATGTAGCAGGGCGTGGAGTCATCCCACAGATGACATCCTTACCTTGTCAGCTTTTGACGGGGTTAACCTCTTTGGTCATGTGGACAAGGCGTCCGACCTCGGATCAGAAGGTCCGTGGTTCGAATCCCATTACGGGACTCGGAAATTTTATGGCCGCTACATCTACATCTGTGTGTCTCTACATTTGTATGTCTCTACATCAGTGTGTCTCTACATTAGTGTATCTCTACATCAGTGTGACTCTACATTTGTATGTCTCTACATCAGTGTGTCTCTACATTTGTATGTCTCTACATCAGTGTGTCTCTACATTTGTATGTCTCTACATCAGTGTGTCTCTACATTTGTATGTCTCTACATCAGTGTGTCTCCACTTTTGTATGTCTCTACATCAGTGTGTCTCTACATTTGTATGTCTCCATTTTAGTGCGTCTCCACATCTGTGTGTCTCAAAATAAGTGTGTCTCTACATCAATGTGTCTCAAACACAGTGTGTCTCTATATAGTGCATCTCCACTTCAGTGTGTCTCTAAATAAGTGTGTCTCTACTTTAGTGTGTCTCTGTATCGGTGTGTCTCTACATAAGTGTGTCTATGCATCAGTGTGTCTCTACATTAGTGTGTCTCTAAATTTATATGTTTCTACATTAGTGTGTGTCTAAATGTGTATGTCTCTACATTAGTGGGTCTCTACATCGGTGTGTCTCTACATTAGTGTGTCTCTAAATGTGTATGTCTCTACAGTAGTGTGTCTCTACATCGGTGTGTCTCTACATTAGTGTGTCTCTAAATTTGTATGTCTCTACATTAGTGTGTCTCTGCATCAGTGTGTCTCTACATTAGTGTGTCTCTACATCAGTGTGTCTCTACATTAGTGTGTCTCTGCATCAGTGTGTCTCTACATTAGTGTGTCTCTGCATCAGTGTGTCTCTGCATCAGTGTGTCCCTACATTAGTGTGTCTCTGCATCAGTGTGTCTCTACATTAGTGTGGCTCTGCATCAGTGTGTCTCTACATTAGTGTGTCTCTGCATCAGTGTGTCTCTACATTAGTGTGTCTCTGCATCAGTGTGTCTCTGCATCAGTGTGTCTCTACATTAGTGTGTCTCTGCATCAGTGTGTCTCTACATTAGTGTGTCTCTGCATCAGTGTGTCTCTACATTAGTGTGTCTCTACATCAGTATGTCTCTACATCGGTGTGTCTCTACATCGGCGTGTCTCTACATCAGCGTGTCTCTACATTAGTGTGTCTCTACATCGGTGTGTCTCTACATTAGTGTGTCTCTAAATGTGTATGTCTCTACAGTAGTGTGTCTCTACATCGGTGTGTCTCTACATTAGTGTGTCTCTGCATCAGTGTGTCTTTACATTAGTGTGTCTCTACATCAGTGTGTCTCTACATCGGTGTGTCTCTACATCGGTGTGTCTCTACATCAGCGTGTCTCTACTTTAGTGTGTCTCTGTATCGGTGTGTCTCTACATTAGTGTGTCTCTAAATTTGTATGTCTCTACATCAGTGTGTCTCTACATCGGCGTGTCTCTATATCAGCGTGTCTCTACATCAGTGTGTCTCTACATCAGTATGTCTCCACATCAGTGTGTCTCTATATCAGTGTGTCTCTACATCGGTGTGTCTCTACATTAGTGTGTCTCTAAATTTGTATGTCTCTACATTAGTGTGTCTCTACATCGGTGTGTCTCTACATCAGTGTGTCTCCACATCAGTGTGTCTCTACATCAGTATGTCTCTACATCAGTGTGTCTCTACATCGGCGTGTCTCTATATCAGCGTGTCTCTACATCAGTGTGTCTCTACATCAGTGTGTCTCCACATCAGTGTGTCTCTATATCAGTGTGTCTCTACATCGGTGTGTCTCTACATTAGTGTGTCTCTAAATTTGTATGTCTCTACATTAGTGTGTCTCTACATCGGTGTGTCTCTACATTAGTGTGTCTCTGCATCAGTGTGTCTCTACATTAGTGTGTCTCTACATCAGTATGTCTCTATATCAGTGTGTCTCTACATCAGTGTGTCTCTACATCAGTATGTCTCTACATCGGTGTGTCTCTACATCGGTGTGTCTCTACATTAGTGTGTCTCTGCATCAGTGTGTCTCTACATCAGTGTGTCTCCACATCAGTGTGTCTCTATATCAGTGTGTCTCTACATCAGTGTGTCTCTACATCAGTATGTCTCTACATCGGTGTGTCTCTACATCAGTGTGTCTCTACATCAGCGTGTCTCCACATCAGTGTGTCTCTACATCAGTGTGTCTCTACATCAGTGTGTCTCTACATCAGTGTGTCTCCACATCAGTGTGTCTCTATATCAGTGTGTCTCTACATCAGCGTGTCACCACATCAGCGTGTCTCTACTTTAGTTTTTCTCTACGTCAACGTGTATCTACATCAGCGTGTCTCTACATCAGTGTGTCTCTACATCAGCGTGTCTCTACATCAGCGTGTCTCTACATCAGTGTGTCTCCACATAAGCATGTCTCTACCCTAGTGTGTCTTCACATCAACATGTCTGTACCTTAGTGTGTCTCTACACCAACGTGTCTCTTCATTAGCGTGTCTCTACATCACTGTGTCTCTTCATTAGCGTGTCTCTACATCACTGTGTCTCTACATCAGCGTATCTCTACATCAGCGTGTCTCTACATCAGCGTGTCTCTACATCAGTATGTCTCTACATCAGTATGTCTCTATATCAGTGTGTCACTACATTAGTTGGTCTCTATCTTAGTGTGTCTCTTGCTTTGAAAAGTATTCCAGTTATATCACACGTGTCAGTTTACTGTGGGAGGAAAGCCAGGTGTAATGCAGGCCTCAGACGTTTACCATTTTGGTGAAACCCAAGAGTACAGGTATGGTGCTACCAAACCAAGAATCATAAACGGGGCGAATCGGGATTCGAACCAACGATCTTATGTTACTGGGCCGCCAATTTGACATAATTCGGTACAGCGAATTGCGGCGCCTTAGACGTTTCGAAAAGAACACCTGTTATACATAGTACGTGATAAGACCTCGTAAGTGTGTTACTTGCGCCTAATCCATTTGATTGTCCGCAATAAAATATGTTTAAATCAAATTCGTGATAATAACATAACTTGAATAATGTTAAAGCAAATATAATATTTTCAACGTGAGAAAATATAAATATATTCAATACAGGAAAATGTACATGTATATCACAATTTGTGTATTTGGTCTCAGATGTTTTCGATGAAACCTGGTCCATCAATCTCATGTTGTAACTCACCTGTGGAGACGGTCCCCAGTACCAGAGCAGCAGCAAGTAGAAGGCACACGATCTTCATCTTGGCGAATATGAGTCGTCTTGTCCGTCTTGACGATTATATACCCCGTGTCTGTCAATCTAAGTTGTTTACCATGCACAAGCATCCGTGATTCTAAGAAAAATGTCACTCTTATAAATAACTGCTTTTCCCAGAACTTACGTAAGCAGTATTTTTTATCTAACGAGCGTTCACGTGTTGTCGAGGGCGAACCGGTACGGCTACCGAGTAAGTTAGCGCACTTGTCTTCTTGGTTAATATATTCAGAGTACAAGGAAGCCTTTTCTTATAACCAAGTGATATATATGTATTCGCAATAGCATCCTTGGCCTGGAAATGTTGTCTATGACGATAGTGCGCATTAAGCATTTAATTGGTTTATACTGTCATGAAAGGTTTTCTTCTGCCCAAAAGATGTTTTTGTCATGTATTATCCCTACTAATATGTTTTTTTCTGTTTTTTTGTTATCTCCAATAGACAAAAGAAGTCACAAGCAGGTTCCCCCCACGTTTCAAGTAACGCCAATTATAATATGGTTTTAAACATCTTATCCTATTAATTTCGCCGGTAGGTTTGTATGGCAATTTAAGCCAGAGCGTATATGCTAAATGTGTGTATGTTCATGATCTAAGTCGTACATGAAAGGGGGAACCACATACTTGATACAAGAGAGTAAAGCCTAGGAAAGGGAGATTAGATACGTCCATGCTGATTACGATGTTGGAAGAATTATGACAGAATATAGATTAAACCGATCCTACAGTAATTGATATATTTCCGCCATTGCTTTAGTATAGGTGTTTGCGGGCAATGCAGAGCGTTGGATTAGCTCCCTGTGTGGGATTTGATAACATGTGGATATTTAACTTTGCCTAGGGATCGACCATTTGATTTTCGGGGTTAAGAGTGAGGGTCGGGGAATTTTTTAAGTGGATATTTCATCAGCAGACATTTTTTAAAGCAATTTCTGGGACAATTTATTTTTTAGATAAAATGCCAGCCCCGCCCCGTCTAGAATCTGAAGGTCGGTCCCCTAGTAACAACGCCTTTCCATTCACTTAATGCTTAATGACTACTTGTTAGTTTATAACGAGCACTGAACGTTTTAAACTTCATGAATATACGTTTGTCACATCAAGATTCACACCTTGAAATGTGTACCTGTGGAAGTCCTAATCTTTGACCTCTGCCGCAGCGAAGGCCAAACATGCGCATGTACATGACATTTGTTATTTGTACGCACCTGTGAGTGATGTTTGTGTTGTCGGCTCTAGACAGTTTTACACAACGAGTGAGAAGGCGGAAACTTGTATAGCAATTAATCAAGACATATACGCATATATCAGACATTGAGTGAGTGACTTCGATGTCACGTTGCTTTAAACAATACTTCAGTTATACAACGATGTGCCAGCGTGTTGTTTGGGGAAAGCCCGTGTGTGCAGATATGAAACATTTACCACATTGATGAAACTCACGAGCACGACATGGTGTTGACAAACTTTGAACAAAATCAGGGCGAACTTGAAACCTACGATCATAGGTTTCTGGGCCCCCTAAGGGAGACAACTCCGCACAGCAAATTGCGGCGCCTTAGACGCCTTAGTGAATGAGTGTCACACGAATATAATGAAACAAATTCACAACAGTGTATATAATGAAACGCCAGTCAGTTATGATGAACACGAGGCACTCGTGAAGAGCAACCTCCCCGTGGTGAGTGCTGGGTAACGCTAATAGCTCTTCCCCTGTGTTGACCCGGGGTAGAATGTGTCCACAGCAACCCAGTGCTGGTCGTAAAAGGCGACCAATTTGGGAAACCTGTTTGCCGTGGGTTGCGCCCCTGTGTCGGCAGAGGAAGGGAGTTTGGTGGTTGAGGTCGCCGGAGCCGGCAATAGTGTTCCTTAGCCCAACACACCACTTTGACCCTAACTTTGCCTTGACGGGTGGTAGGATGGGCCCGATTCAATCAATCGGCTGGTCATGCCAAGCCCTGTGCATGCATATTGTGTAGCACATTATCTGTCAAAATGTTGAACTATTTTGTATTGTCTTTGCCAAATGATATTTTGCTTGAATTTCAAATGTATACGACATGGCTGGAATGTTGCCGTTGTGAATTACAATCTTAACTCACTCAAATGTATATTTCCAAATTCATAAATTGCCTAGAGTCCTAAGCCCAGAAGGCGGTGGCTCATGGGCAAATCTGGTGGAAAAATTGATCTTTGGATTTATCTGCTTCAGTATGTCATCCGAGTATCCTTGTTGCTGCAAGTCGGAGGTCCACTTGTTCATAGCATTGTCTTTATGATACTCCATGGTGGGTGGGGAGCTCGGATGATGAAACTGAAAACACAAAACATGGATTACGAAGCCGCCCTAACAAGAAACAAGCGTCAACTTGAAAATGATGATGAACCACGAACATCCAAATCTATTTATTATTATCGAGAATCTTGACAATTCGCCACTCAAATTGAACCCTTTTGTCGTATCAAAAGGTGTTCAAGGCATTGCAGGTGAGGTACGAAATATCAAACGATTGCGTACAGGTTCTTTACTAATAGAAAGCAGCAATCAACCAACCTGTTGTCAACTGATATGTTTGTCGGTGCTCCTGTTTTGGTCTCAACAAAGAACATTAAATACCAGCAAAGAGATCGCGAGAGGCAGAGATCGTTTGTTTGCTGACATGACGGAAGATGATATAGTGTCAGAAATAAAAAACAGGGAGTTATTTTTGTATATAAATATAAATATAAATTTTGCTGATGCAAAACAGCTTGTTGTTCACCCAGAGAAACCAATGAATATTATGCCTCCTTTACTTGAATACCCTCTGACACAACCCGTTAAGTAACCACACCGCCTCTAACCACTTCAATCCAATGTCAAACAGACTTGACGTGGATAAACACTGATGGTCCTGAAGTCTTTTCTCCTGACCAGTCCACTCAGACTGCAGAATCACTTCCTACAACACCTGTGCTATCTCAAGTTCAATCACAATCATCGTCTTCATCTCAGAAACAATCGTCATCACTGCCCGCTTTGCAACCGGTATCTCAAACAAAGCCGAAAACAGTGGTAAAAAATCCAAATTAAACCTAGAGCTGAATCTTCAAATAAATATCAAAGTGGCAGAACCTCCAAAGGGGCAGATAATCAGAATCAACTTTTCAATAAATTTGGATCCCTTTAGGACATGGATTTGTCAGAAAATGTCCATCCCAGGGGACACAGCTTGTCGCCCTCAAAGAAGGTGGGGGGTAGATCCCCTATCAATCCCCATAAAAGATAGTTTATTCAAATAATATTTTTCAGTGGAATTATAGAGGATTAAGGTCTAATTTTAATGAATTGCAGTTATTAGTCCAGGGTTTGAAGCCTTCCGCATTCTGCTTACAAGAAACATATCTAAAGCAGACCGACAATTTCAACTTACGTCACTTCAATGCTTATCATGATTTTTCTCCTCCAGGTGATAGGGCCACTGGGGGCTCTTCAATCATTGTGAGAAATGATGTTATCCATAGCCCTGTTACACTTAAAACTACTCACCAAGCCGTTGCAGTTCGACTAACTTTGAACGTTGCTTTTACTCTCTGCTCATTGTATATTCCGCCTTCATTTGCTCTCCAGCAGTCTGATCTGAAAGCTCTCTATGATGAACTCCCTAAACCCTGTGTAATCATGGGTGATCTAAATGGCCACAACCCACTCTGGTGTGGTACACACACTAATAATAAAGGTAAAATAATTGAGGATTTCCTCTCTAATAATGACATGTACATATTTAATGATGATTCAAGCACTTACCTTCATCCTGCAACTGACACTCTTCTCTAGATTTGTCTATAACTCACTCCAATCTACTCAACGAATTTGAATGGTCAGTCCACAATGACCTTTGTGGAAGTGACCATTTCCCAACTATGATTAAAGCAATCAATCCATCTGATAATCCACCTACAACTCGATGGAATTTTACAAAGGCTAACTGGACTTTATATTTACATCATTATCCACAAATAAGCACATTCCTGGGTGTTTCAGTCATGTAGCTGATCCTATTCAGGTTTTAAAAGAAATTGCTGATGAATGTATACCAAAATCCTCTACAAATCCACATATACGTAAACCATGGTTTAACACCGATTGTAAACAAGCAAGGAAGCTAGAAAAAAGGCAGCGAAGTATTTCCGTCATCACCCAACTGTCAATAATTTAAATAAGTTATAAATGTTAAATGCAAAAGCTCGTCGTACGTTCAAACAAAATAAACGCCAATCTTAGCGGAACTATGTTTCTAAAATAAATTCAGGTACACCAGTGTCTAAGGTTTGGAATATGCTTCAAAGAATAAAAGGTAAAGGTTCCAAATCTAGTGTTCACCATCTTAACTGATAAATCTGATATAGCCAATAAATTAGGAGAAACGTTAGCTAAACATTCTTCATCATCAAATTATGTACAAAATAATCAGAAAGTTAAAGACCAACAAGATAGAAAGAAAATTAATTTTAACTCTGAAAATGGTGAAGATTATAATGAAGTTTTTTTCCATTCATGAGCTAAATACTGCCTTAGGGCAAGCTCATGATACTGCTATAGGTGCCGATAATATCAGTTATCAGTTACTAAAACATTTACCTAACCCCTGTTTAGAAACACTATTAGATATATTTGATAATATCTGGACTACGGGTAATTTCCCTTCGTCATGGCGGAATGCTGTTATCATACCAATACCAAAACCTGGCCGGGATCACACTGATCCTTCAAATTATAGACCAATATCGCTTACTAGCTGTGTTTGTAAGACCATGGAAAGAATGATCAATAATCGATTAATATGGTACTTACAAACAAATAATCTTGTAACAAATATTCAATGCGGTTTTAGGAAGAATATAAGTACTATTGACCATTTGGTTAGATTAGAATCATTTGTTAAAAATGCTATCATCAATAAACAACACATCGTATCTATATTTTTCGATTTAGAAAAAGCGTATGATATGACGTGGAAACATGGAATCTTAAAGGATCTTCATGAGATGGGGTTGAGAGGCCGTTTGCCTAATTTTATATCACAGTTTTTAACAGATAGAAAT